TTTTTTTTTTTTTTTTAAATGTTTGGTTGGCTTTTTAAACAGGCTAGGCACAAGCCTTTAAATCAGAGTCACAGAACACAGTTACAAGAGTACACCTTTTTGCTGTTCTCGACATACATACTCCCAGTCAACAGAAATAAAAATGTTTCGCTTCGTGTCGGAATAACTCTACTTCTGAGGATATAAAGCCATGTATCGGTTCTGAAAAATCTGTTCATTACAAATTATATGAGTTGCTTGACTGATTGCAAAAAAAAAAAAAAAAACCTCCGCGTACACAATACACAATCTTGATGCAGCCAGCCACTGCAGATGCCAAAGTGTATTGCCAGTATGCCTTAAACAATTAAAGTTCTGACACTTTTTGTGATGAAGATCAAAAAACGTTCTTCACTTTGCATCTACATATAAACTGTGCTCTCTTTATAAAAAGGGTCTCACACACACGTTTTTTTTTTTTCCACTAATTTTTAGCCTGAGAAATTTAGCCTTAACTTTGAGCTGCTTTTTTCCTGTTTTGTCTTGCTTGTACCAGTAATGTACCAGTAATGTACACCTGGTCTGTTGATCAGATTAATTTCCCACCTATACTTTGCAATTCAATTGCTGCTGAATTATACCATCAGCAACACCTGTGCATAGATTTAGAGTGCTTAACTCCAAAAGAGACCATCAGAGTATCTGTAACGAGTAGGTAACTAGATTGTTCATTTCCAATTCAGGCAGCTACAGGGCTGCTCTAAACAGGTAGTGAGCCTACCCGCTTGGGTTCGACTAAACTGTTTGGTCCTGAGCTGAACTCTTGTGAAATCAGTGCTTGGTAGTATGGGCCTTCTCCTTGGCACATGTTTTTAGTGAATATCCATTTTGAACTCATCTTGCTCTTGGACACTGTGTTACCTGAGTGCATCGTCCCACTCCTGGCTGGATCTGCTCTGGCCCCATCATGACTGCAGGGCAGCAAAAACTTTCCTTCGCCAGGAGGAAAAAAAGCTTTTATCCTAAAAGAAACTTATCTATCAATTTTTTTTTGGGGGGGTGGGGGGGAGGGAGGGCAGGGAAGAAGGGGAAGACCACAAAAAACAACAAGAAAACACCAGCCCACCTTCACCTGTCTTCTCTCCAGGACCATTACACCATGAGATTCTTTCCCAGCAGATCCATGAATGGGCTAAAGCCTGCTTTCCTGAAGCCCAGGTTCATGATCTCCCTAAATTGTCTTTCTTCCTCCCTCCTCTTAGCATCCTGAACATCAACGTGCTATGGTCACTGCAGCCAAGTCCACTTTCTTTTTTTTTAAATGGAGAAATTAATTCAATATAGTAGATGTGATGTGGATTTCCTATTGTGTCTCTTCTAGAAAGGTTTCCTTAACTTTTGACTGGGGGCATAGAAATGCCAAAAATTTTAGAGAAACAAGCCAGTTTCACTTCTTGCCAGTGAACTGGAGGATATGATTCTGAAAGCAAACCAAAAGACAATATGCCACTATGATGACGTGTGGGGTGTTTTTAACAGAATGGGAAGATCAGAACTTCCAAGAGAAAATCCTACCCTCTAGCTAGTTTACAGAGGAATGTTATTGTTTGCTCTTCTGTTCAGAAAGGTTAGGAGGACAGTATTGGGAGAAAGCCACCCTACTTGACTATGCAGTGAAGTACCTAAAAACCCCCGAAACAAAACAAAAGATTCCCTCATCTGGGGCTGGTAAGCACTTTCCGCTCACTTGTCACTAACCTTTTAAGGGCCAAAGGAGTTAAAGTAGAAATACCTTCTGAAATAGTAGTTAATACGCAAAAAAATTTTTTTTTTGAAAGTGGACGTACTATACCATGTAATCCTCCTCTGCCTCAACTACCTGAAAGCTGTAGTGCTGCTGTCTCTCTGCTCTAAACCACTGATAAACTCAAGTGCTCCACAAGCAAGTCAAGAGAGTATTGTTATTGAGTAAGCAAAGGAACAGTAGTGCCTTCCTTCTTTTAACTCCATTGATACTTGTGCTGAGAAGTTTCTTTTTAGCCACATATAGAAAGGTTAGTATTCCAGAGCTAAAGATCTAATGATGGCTACTGCACAGGTCAGACATGTACCAAGTGATGAACGTTCTGGAGGTTTTAAAGAAGCTGCTATCTTCTTACAAAAGTTAAAACTTAATTACACTTAAACTGGATACAGTCCATACTGCTAAGCTCTGGTCCTGCCACCCAGTGGCTGAACATCTGGCCAGAATAAGTAAAGGGCATGACCAAGCAAAGGAACAATAAGCAATAGTGTTGGCTAGTTTTTGCTTCCTATACAAAAAAGGAAACCAGCATTGCAGACTACTAGAGAAGTTATGAAGCCAGAAGCAAATGCAACATATAAAGCTAAACTGTCTATAAAGCCTCTTCAACTATGAAATGCCAATTAGCTGCAGAAAAAGAAGATTTAAGGTTTTGGAACAACATGGCCACTGCATACAAGAAATCTACACACAAGGCTGCTTTTCCAATTGCAACAGGGACTATTTCTTAAATATAAAATGGCCAACTTTTAAAAATTTCTCTACTTTTGTTATTCCTTCATATTGTGCATTCTGAACCTGTGTTTTTCACCGCATGCTACAGATAATTGCTTCTTTTAAAAAACATAGCTTTTATAAAGAAAGCCTGCATAGAAGGAAAACCTGGTAAAACATCAATTTATCAACTGCCCTTGGGCTCACACAGATTTTGATCATCCTCCTATTGTTACCATTTTACTGTTAGACAAATGCTATTAGTAAAGTGGCATCATTTTACTCACCTTTAAATAATTAAGATGATAATCCAGAAGAACAGTTGCATTAGTGATACTGTCCTTGGTTCCCACAAACACAAATGGTACCATTCCCTAAAACACAATGATATATTTTGAAAACCCCATGGTTATTTATTAAACATCAGATACTGAAGAGAACAAAGCTTATTGCTACAATCTTAAAAAGAAATTTTACAACATGGATAAACATTAATTCAAAAATAACCGAAATAACAGTGTATTTACATTTTGACGCTTACTGGATGACCTAAAACTAATTTCCTTCAAGGGAAGGGCTAATTTTATAACAGAACATATAAAGCCTCATTTTATGTATTAAAGTCACAATAGAGTAGGCTTATCAGGTTTTATATCGAGGCAGGAAATCATGCACAAGATTAATTTATATTTAGGGTGCATGTATCACAATAACAAAATTTATTTTCCTAACAATGTAAAAACATGAATCAGTTTAAAATGCTTCAGATTTCCTCCCTTCCTTCAAAACTAACATCATTTTGATGAACACACGTCTGTTTGCTCACATCAGGTACTTTTAGGCTATGGCCAGGAAAGCAGCCTTCGAGCTTATTAAGAAGTAAACCAAATTACTATCTGGACATAAAGCAAAACTCGATCCTTCTTATCCAACACCCAACTCATAAAAGGCAAACAAAAGATTCACGAAGGTAAACTTGGTGCTCCAGACAACGACTATCAATTTCTGTGCCTGTTACCTTTCAAGCATGTTTGCTGAAATGATTCATTGAATACCCTGAAAATGTAGAACTGGTGTTGATCAAGAAATTCTAATATTTGAATACTGATGCTTAAAGATTAAAAACAAACAAACAAACAAACTAAACTTGGGAAGCCAAAGTGTGCTAAGGGCCCTGACTGCTGAAAATAGCTGAGCTTTAGCAGATAAGGATTATTTCCACATCAAAACATCCAAAACCAAAGTACTTCACTTTTGTACCAACTGTAGTATCACCATGGCTGCATAAGCTTCACTGTGAACTGCAGAAGCTAACTTGGAAGTCTAGTAAGCGCTCAGTTACTGAAACCTATGCCAGTGCAGATGTACAGCTTGGCTATCCCTACCGGGCTAATTTAAAGTTTGTTTTGGTCTCTCCTCATAACCTTTAAGTGCACCTTCAACTTGCACTATACACACACCCTTCGCAGGACTGTGATCCAAACAAGTCATTTGCAAAAGTGAAATAATTAGAGACACAGATGTCTTGCAAACAAACAAAAACCAAAACAACAACAACAACAAATACACATACAGTATGCTAGGGTTCCCTATAAGGGTGGAAGGAGTGACAAGTCTATGCTTTGTCTATTTGTCTTTGCTTTTTGTCTTTTACATACAGACGACTTCTGCGAGATCTTTTATATATGAGTTACACAGCAAGACAAAAAAAAGTTTCCTCTTATCCTAAGAAAGCTCAGCACTAACACTACCTTCAGTGAGCATCAGAAATCCTTTAGCCACAAGCATGGTTGACTGAAATATTTCATTATCTGGTTATTTTAAGTTTCAAATATATTTAATATAACTTAATCGAGGGCAATTAAACTTCTGCTAAACTGACTACTATAGCTGCTCTGTGCTACTAAACTAGCACAGAGTATCAATTATTGAGAGATCACATGACAACAGACTTAAAATGGCATTTAAGGCAATGGTAACTCAAATGGTAACTCAAACTATAATACTGGAAAATAAGTACTGAAAAGATTTTGATCAGCAACAATGTCAAACAATTTTAGTCTCAAATGAACTTATTCATTTATTGAATTTTATTTCTGTCTCCAAAGCAAAAGCATCTCTATCTTCAACTTAGTTTCAGTGGTGAATACTGAGCAGATACAGCTGCATAAATAATTTAGAGTTAAAATTATATATTGTAACACGACTATAATAAACAATCCTAATGTATCATTTAAAAAGATGTTTGTAACAGGAGCTTTAGGCCCCTGTTATAAAACCATTGGAGTTACGAAACAGTACTTGAAATTTACGAGGAGGATTTTAACATCTCAGCTAGAAGAAATAAGAACCCAATGCTGAACTAAAATTTATAAGTGAACTACCAGTCTTTACAAAGAGAAAAGCTGCAATATTCAAGTCTATACATGAGAAGATTAATGCACATTCATTTCAAATATGACCCCCAAAAAAACCTTAAAAACTCATTCTTACCCGCCAAGGTTTGACCTCAGGTTTCTGAGTTTCTCCTGATATAACAGATGACAAAACTAACACCTAAAGCAGCATAAGGAATGCCAGTGTTAGTGATGTCGTTAACAGGAAAAATAGCAAAGTCTGAATGCCGACCCTGGCAGGTAAAAAGGCTTTCGATTCACCTTTAAATTTGTTTTTGATTGAAGAATGTCAAACAAAGCAGCTTTTTCAAAGATAGAAAAAAAGCCTGATAACCTAAGGCAGCCATGGCTACTTGCTCTTCTACCTTTTGTTCTGTAGGCTGACAGGTTTAAAAGTATCAAAGTCTTTAGTGTACAGTAAAAAAGGCACCCTTTTGCCTATTAAGAAGGTCAACAACTTTATGCTGTAAGAACTTATCACTAGAAGTAAAACATGATAGAAGTGAAACAGTTAACTCTAAACACTGAGTTGACTATCTTACCTTCTTGAGACAGACAGAAAACTAGTAATAAAGTGGGAGAAAAAGCCTTACAGAATTGAGTACCACCATTTACGGAGAGATTGAAATTGGACTGTGGGTCTTCTGTAATAAATTTAATGTGATGGTACCAAAGATGAAAAATCTATTCAAGCAAGAATATAAAAGTTCTAAAGATACACTTCATATCTTATGTGAAGTAGCAAAGGTTCCTCACCTAGCACATATTTAGACTTCTGGAAAAATAAGAGTTTAAGTGTCTTTAAATTTAAGCACATTTCACATTTGAAATTGTATGGAATCTTTTCTCATAGAGATGTTGGAATTTTTGTGCTTCATGTTTTCTTTGCAAACCTGTAACCTCTCCCCCAAACACAGGCCCACATAAAAGCATCTTAAATTCTCAAATTACCCAGGTCAGGACTTCACTGAAATCTTCTACAAGGTCAGCAGACCAAAAAGAATGTATCACTGTGTATTGCACTTTAGCAAACCTGGCACATATCACATCTGTTTATGGTAGTTTTTTCTTAAAGTCACAATTTATAGCCTAATGTGTGTTCAAATGATGTTTAAAAAGAGGGGTTTACACAAGAAGGCACAGGCTTTTCACCACAATAACATAAATAACTAGTAAAAATTAAGAGAGGTCACATTGAAAGTTGACGAATGAAAACACTAAGCTTTGCATACTTCGATTTACAACTTAACCAGTGTCTAGAAACAGCGTTAACGCTTCTACCAGGAATAAAATGAAATCTTTGGGAAGGTGCATCACCACAAAGCTTCACACAGTCTTCCTGGAAACAATAATGACAAGTCAAGTTTATATATAAATGCCTCTTAGCATTAACAGGGAAATATAATTTTAATCAAAAAAACACGTTAATCAAACCGCATCTTACCACTAGTAAGACACAGGAAGAAATTTATTTTTACCAGCGGGTAAAATATAACTACTAATTAACACATACAAAAGTCACATGAACTGAAAACATACCTCTTCCTGTGGAATATTTTTATCATTTTCAGCCTCAATTCTCACTCTTACAACACCCGATTTGTCCACTATCTCCTGAATCAGTTTTCCATTTTTTCCTATTACTTTTCCTACATAAAGAACATACAAACATTCCATCATTAGGGTTTTTCCCCAAACCTGAAAGCATTACTGTATTCTATTTTAACAAGAAGGTCTAGTGCCAGTGCAAGAACTTGTCAAAAATGACTTAACAGTCCATAACAAAGATTTAAACAATGAGCCCTGAACTAAAATGTCTAAATAAACCTGGGACATATATTTTAACAATGCTCCAAAAGCAGGCCACCACTGCAGCACACAGGAAGAGATTTACTTTTATTATCCTAAAGTAAAGCAAAATTGTTAATTTGTTTTTAAAAAAGTTTTAGCTAATGAGGTTTTCTGACTGAGATCTGATTTTTTGTTTATTTGAAAATAACATAGAATTCATCAAAATCTTGAAAATAAAACCTAAAAGAAACTAAACCCCTCTTAAACATAAAAGATATTGTTTCTACTGTTCAAAGCTAAATAACATCTCCTTTTGGTATTTCAAGGCTTTTACATAGGAATTAAAAATTCATTGTATTTGTAGAAAAAGCGACAACATACAGCCAATATGCTCTTCCTTGACCACAAAGGCTGCTCTGAGAGTCAAAAACTTCTTTTGAGTATACAGTATTTTATTTCATCACACATCATTGGTAAATATAACAGAAGCTTACTAATAAGCGTGCCGACTCTACATCTATTGTTCTTAAATGAACTATAGAGATGAGGGGTCAAATTTTTAAGCAAGTACTAATCCCAGAGCTACAAAAATTTCACACTGCTTCAATACTAACTTTCATACATTGCTTGACAAGCTTTTAAAGTATATGCATCTAGAAGTGTGTGTATATACATATATATAGTACACCATATGTATCTATGTATACACACAAACACATTTTTAAGGCATTCAATAGCCTTCGTTACCTACTGAATTAAACTATTTTTTTCGTGTTGCTTTATAGCAATAAAAACTCATTAAGGATTTATACATAATGACCGCATGCATTCTTGGGGCCTTCATTAACAGAACTCTATTAAATGTTTTTTGGAGTATTTTCTTAATCATTGGGTGCCTTAACCTGGCATTCGGTTCATTCCGCTATGCTGCGTCTAAACAAACAATATTTAAAATGTACAAGGACAACAAAAAAGACAAATAATAGTCCAGGAAATGATGACTCAGAATATGAGAGACAGCAGATTCATCTGTGGCACAGCTGAACGCTTTTCAGACATCTTTGGAAAAAGTCACATGGTTCTTTGGCTCAAGTCAGAAGCTATTCTACCTTGCTTTTAAACACAGTATTTAGTCCTTCCGGCCTAAGGCACCTGAGTTGTAAATTAGGAGGCAATTTATCACTGTCAGTGTATCATAGGTAACTGCACCTACAAAAGGTCTGCAAGGAGTCAGTGCGGGGCTGGGGGAAATTAAAAAAACCTGAAATCCAAAAAACTTTGTACTACCATAATCTATTCAGAGAGGAGTCATTCAAATTTTCATACTGTCCCCCTGCTTCTAAAATGTCTTCTGAGAACTGTTTTTTAAATTTTTTCCTTAATGTTTCAGTTATTCTCCAGAACTGACATACCTACTAAGTTTCTTGGGACTTGTATGACATCTTCAGCAAATTCAAGGTAACTCCTTGCCTTTTTCACTGCATCTTGATCCTAAAACAGACAGGTGTAGGAGAGAAATCCGTTCAGTTGTTGTTGGTGGTTTTTTTCCTTTTCTTTTAAGGGGTGGAGAAAGGAACTTACTTCTCCATAAATATGGAACGTGCATGTATCTTCATCGAGATCAATAGCAGTTACTCCAGGGACTTTTCTGGCTTGCTGAATATTAGCACCATGAGTGCCAATGGCCAAACCCATTAGGTCTTCACGTACAACAAACTGTTCATGAAATCGTGATGCAAGTTGTCTAGAACTCTGAAGAAAAAAAGAGAATGTTAGCTTGCTTTGATTTTTACTACATTCAGGGGCAGGGGGATCAACAGTAATTTAGAGTTGATTCTTTAATCAAGTACTTGGCTCACTTTCCATTTTAAGCAATCCTTTTAATGCATTTATTTTCATTTCAAAAACATTCACAAGAGTATTCTTTAAAAAGAAGTCTCAAAATACTAGCTTTCCAAATACTAAAACAAGGTTAATTTCTAAGTCTCTTAACACCTCTATATTTTGAATTACAGAATATCTACAGCTATCCAAAGCGTTACTAGGTAAGACAGTGTTCATATAAGACAATAAAATTAGAAAGAGTTATGTGTTCATTACTAAAGCAAACCCAGTGATCATGAGCGTTAAAAAAATATGTCCTTTTCAATAGCTATAAGGAAACAGCAGTAACTCAGTCACTGGCCACAAAGCTTTCAGAGAAAATAGAGTAACTTTATGGATACCTACTGCGCCTTAAAAAAATAAAATGAAGAATCAATTTCTACAGCAAAAAAATAAAGGTATAACTGCAATGTTGCTTGATTTCAGATAAAAAGTATCTTAGGAATTTTCATACAGGAATCACACACTTCTACCAATACAGAAGGGTCAACCTGAGACTCTTGAATAGTCATATGCTGTTAAGACAAAATCTCCTGCTTCAATAGGCCAGTAACAATGACTAGAAACTATATAATTAAATAGATTGAGTCATTTATGTAAGGCTCACGAACACTTACATTAAATACTGGTTATTGTTTTGCAACTCTGATCACCTTTGCATGAAGCTGCTAAAATCTAAACTACAATACAAAATGGCTTGTAGGATTGCAGTGAGGCTCTCCTACATGAAGTAAGATACCAAGCAAAAAGCCTTTCTGATCTGGAACAGGATTTCTAAAAAAATGTTGGGGGGGAAAAAAAAAACCCACAAACCTACTAGTAACCTGGATAAAATTTGCACAAAAACCAATGTAACAAGAAGGAAAAGATAACTCCAATGACCATTGTAAACAACTTTCTAAAGCAGGCCTCAGTCTCCAAGTTCAGCTTCCAACAACGTTAACAAGCTCTGATTTACTGCACGTGCATGCACACACATGCCCATACGTAAAATACAATTTCAACATTCTTTTTTTTTAACTGTATAAAGCTTCCCCTACAAGGCAAGCATGCAGAAGACAGCTAGGAAGAGAAGAAGGTTTTTGAGAAACTTATAAAACATTCTGGAGTTGGGACAACGCAGAGAACACTCAAATAGGCAAGAAATCTAGATTTTGGCACCACCCATATAGTCCTGCATTGATATGAACAGCCTCTGTCAATCCTGTATGGCTCAGCCTGTTAGCATGAGGAGACCTCACAAGTGCAAGGAAAAATACTCGGGAAATGCCTAATTGTGTGCGGCTCAGAACAGGTCAAGCAAAGGGGAAACTGCTACAGAAAAGTGGGTGCTTTCTATCTTTTCAGAAACAAAGTCACCTGTTTACAAAGACAAAAATAACGATTGATAACTTTCTCCTACACAGCCTTACCATACTTTCAAAAACCAAACAGGTGCAGTTTTCTTGTAGGGATTCTTGTGCTATATAAGACAGTAAAATCACTAAATTTGGTTACTGTGAGAACTAAGGAACATATGGAGAGAAATAGATAAAATATAAATAAATAAAAAGAAACATACATTGTTTATGGCAATGGAGCTGTCATACATTTAAAATAAGTTACAACACTTAAATCTAGAAAGAAGCAAATATGAAATGTGCAAAAAATGTCGTAATTTACCATAGTGAATAAAATTCCTATGTTAAAATATGTGCACTATTCACGAATGTCTGAGCATAACTGACCACATGGAAGGAACAATAGTTTAATGCATCCAGGGAAGACAGACACTGTTGGAAATTCTCTATTGAGAAAAACGGAAAACAATTGTTTTACAAGGAAAAAATATAAAGGAAAAAAAAAGATAAATCTGTACATTGTCTTTCCAGATCTAAGATATAAAACTCCATGTATTTTTTCGCATTGCGATCAAAGTTGTAACTATGACAAGGACATATACAAATGCGCTTTAAATTAGTTAGTCTGGCCACTAATAAAAGTTCAACCTCAACAACATGGAACTTTACAGAGGTTGAGAAAACATCAAGAAAGCAGCCCGCATTAAGTTCTACTCTGTCCCAGGTAAACTGCTACCATTATCCAACCCAGTCGGCTTAAAACTGTTGATAAATAACCTGCACTACATTCATCACACAGAATACTGTAGAATACTATAGTAGACAGCAGTAAGCATGCAAAGGCATTATTGGGCTGTATTAGTGCTATGAAATATTTCATATATTCAGAGCTCTATCAAAGATTTCATTAACTAAACCATAGACAACTCTGAAATCAAACATTACTTGGAATGCTTACAATCTACATTCCAACAGATAATCCAGATGCTGATACACTAGTTGACATCTGCTACAGGCCACCAAATCAGCACAGAGAACAGGATGACCAAGTCAACAACCAATTGTTAAAACAAGCATCTACAACATATATAAAAAAACGAAGCTGCATCATCATAGGGGACCTTGGCTATGACAGTCAGACTGCAGTTATATTACCTGTACTAAAATACTGTTAGAAATTCTGCAAATTATGTATTTCTAGTCAAACATAAGAAATCCTGTATTATACTTTCTTCTGATAGGTTACGGAGAAATAACTATACAAACACAACATATTAATAGCTAGGCAGAGGCCGTGACTGAAGTTATATTCAGACCGAATAAAACACAGACTAGAATGCAAAATAAATAGTTCTAACGTATGGCACTTTAGAATGTCAAAATAAAAACTAAGCCATACCCTATTGGAAAAAAATATGCAAACAAAAAATAACGGGTATTTTACTTGATGCTCTAAAAGCTACACTTGAGAAGGAAGGCCATGCAGATCAAGAAGCCAATACACTGAAAAAAAAGAAGGTACAAGATACAACAAACGGAAGAAAAAAGAAGCTGGTATAGTGATTATAGCTCAGAAAACAGGAAAGGTAAATTTTAACAGAATAAGAAAGTGACAATGAGATATGTATAGCTAGGAGTGTTCAAGACATACAAAGGAGTTTACTTGATGGAAACAATGAATTGTTAATAATAACACACTGAAGCTGAATGCATTCACTAAATATTTGTTCAGCAAATAGACATGTACAGTCTAACTATATGTCCATTAGACATTCAACAGGAAGCACAAGTATGAATTTTACTATCTGAAATCTCTTTTGTTTCCAGTTTGGCTGAAAATGACATATTTAATAAAAGTACAGAAGACACAGACAACAAAATTAAAGATACCAAAATATCCACCACCCTTTGTCACACTGAACATTATAACCATATATATTTATCTTACAACCTTAGGCTTTAAATACTGTTCAGACTGAACTTGAAGTCCAATAAAGGTTTTCTAGTCAGAATCAGTAGCAAAAAGTTTCAGGTTTATGACAAGAGCAAGAACCCAAGATCAGTTTGCGAAAGGAATCAAGCTCCTTGGTGCATGCATCTGTGGGGGCAGGTAAAGAGAATTAGCTCTAAAAAGGTTGTTGTTCTTCTTCCCACCTCCAAAATAATACTTTGCACTTCAAGAAGTAAACTGCCCACACAGCTGTCAGCTCTGGAGGAAGACAGAGAATAATGAATTACTGAAGAGCTACAACAGGGTGCTCAAGAAAGAGCACCAATGAAGGAAATTGGTCCTTTTTTGATCTTAAAAAAGACACATACACACACCCTAAACAAACTTGAATTACACCTCAGAAGTTCAGAAATCAAGAGACTAACAGATAAGAACTTGCAATCAGCTGTGGGTGCATCTACTGGATGTAAGAGGACTGAACTATTACTTTAAATTACTACTACATTATACACCACTTCAAGCTAAACAAGAACAGATGTAACCTTTGAAGAAAAAAAAAAAGTAAAAAGAAATCTGGCCCTAAAACAACCAAGCTGGTATATGCCCATATAAAATCTTGAATTACAATAGTTCTAGTGGTACCTCTAGTTCTTGTCAGTGAATCTAAAAAAGTCTTAGAAGTATTGATATTTTTCCTTATTTGCAGACAGGAAAAAGAAACCCATAAAGAAACGGACAACTCTACTGTATAAAGATACCGTTATTTCCTAGCCTACTCTTTTTTTCCATGGAGAAGTATGAGTCAAGCTTCTTGCCAGTCAACACCCACTCTTCAATCACAGGAATATCAGAACCTGTATCTGCTGTAAGATGATTGGCTAACAATTTATCTACAGATATACCACTGCCTTCATACATCCTACCAACCGTCTCACCCCTTCCATCGCCCATTTTCACTGTGTTTGTTTTTATGCTACCTTATGCATTACTTCCATATTTTATTGCTATCCCCCCCCCTTTTTTTTTTAAAAAAAAAAAAAAAGGATCCATGTGGGTACAGATTCTCATTTGTGCTGCAAGAGTCAATTCTAGTCCATCTCAATATCATGGCATATCCAAACCTATCTATATGCAAAAACAAGAATTTAAAGCTATCAGCTATGTAGCACTGTTAAAATAATTGCCCATTATTGCACTATGGTTCAAACTATGAAAGAAGTATTAACTATGTGTGTATATACCTATTTGGTATTTAATCTCACACAAAATCCTGTGGACTGAAACAGGATTGGATAAAAGTGAGTCTTTGTAAGAACAGGCCCTTCAATTGTGAAATCCTTTGTTAGGGTTATGGCTCCATCTGTCTCTCTTTAACATCAAAAATAGTATCATTACATAATAACTACTTTCACCCCAATGCAAGTCTTACCAGCTCACAAATGCCCAAGAGTTTTTATGTTCAGTTTATTTCAGGGAAAATAAATAACATACCTCCAGCTGTTTGCTAGCTTCTTCATTCCTCAAAATCAGGGATAACTTGGTACGAAGACTTCGAAAGTGCATATCAATCAGCATATTTGCCCGCTTTGTTGTTACATCATTGATTGACTAAATTAATAATGAAGAAAAGACGGTATTTTACCAATGAACTTTTCAAACAAACCACTGCCACTGGTATGGTTAAATACAAGTACTTACCAAAATAATAAGTTGGTGGTTTTCAGAATCATATGTTACAGAAAATGCTCCAACTGCCTTTTTGAAGTCTTTATGTGCAGATTCTTTGGCACACCTGAGAATAAAAATGCTATAAAGCTAAAAATAATACTTGCTGCATTTATGGATTACAACCAAAGTGATTCCTTTTTTAAGGAAAAAAAGTCAGAAAAACTATATTCAAATTCTCACTTTTCATGCATGTGTTATTTTATTCTATTATCATTTATTATAATCTTACATGAAAAAATCAAAACTAATTTTTTTTTTTTTAGAAATTTATCTACATGTTTATCTATGAAATGACACACCAGTTTAGCAAAGCTTTAAATAAAAAAAGCTACAATCATTATATACAGCTACATACTGAGCACACCAAGAACTAGTACTATGCATCTTCGTTGTAGCATTCCAATGACCTTACATTCATCTCGTGCTGTACTTTGCTTCTACAGGCTTCTTACATATAGTCACTTAGTGAATTTATGCACTTAACATTAACTTCAGAAATTCTTAGCTTAATCAGTTTGTAGTTTATTCTGCATTAGGTCATTAATATGTATCAAGAAAGCACCAGAAAACCATCTGAATCTAAAAGGAAGTCAATGTTAATCCAAGTTTTAGAACTGTATTTGCCTGTGAATGACACGTCAGTGTTGTAGACGAGAACTACTACAATTAGTTCCTCCTGCATCATACTATGGTATGTTTGGCTATCGTCACAACTATTTCCATAGACAGCATTAAAACATCTCATAAACTATAATATATGGCATAGCATTTTCTTTTTTAAATAAAGTTGACAAAAAAATGGATCCAGGTAAATCTATACTTGTCACTAAACAGCCATAAGAATAAAAACTTTAATCTATACTGCACACAAGCCTTAAACTTTGGAGAAAGTATTTCCTCCTGCAGGACTGAACAGCATTTCAAGCATCATCTTTGCTATTTCTGAACTGTGATCACGTCAACATTTGTATTCTCTGCATTCATATTTGAAAGCCTTAAAAATTCATTTCAAGTAGTGAAAAGCATTTTTACTCCTTCTTGACTCAGAAGTTACCTTTATTATGAACGAGAAATGCTGGTACTTACATTTGCCTTAAATCTTCTGGAACTTCCAGTTTGATTTTATGAAAAGTATCTTTTGTTGCCGGTTTGTTGGGGTTCACAGATCTTAAACGCTCGATTGTGACAATTTCGTTGTATGTAGCATCACAGGCTGCATATTCTATTACGTAAAACTGATATAAAAATAATAAAATCATCCAAGCTACACATTTTATTACAAGAGTAAGAATTACACTGTGAAGTGAAAAGCATTTCTGTTAACTGTACAAGTCAAATTTGAACTTTTTCCGTCGAGCTTACCACTAATTGAGGCAGTCCTAATTAACAAATTGTTTTAAAATGAAGGGGGACAACTTAAAAAGTCACTGTGTACATAAATATAAAAAGTGTGTATATATAGATATAGATATATGTATATTCCTACCTCACCCTTTATCATTCTCACTTTAGCCAACCACCAGCAGCAGGGTTCTTTTTCATTTGCCCTGGAATAAACCTAAACAAAATATATCCGTTATATATCTGTAGCATCTTGCAAGACATCACAAAGGCTGTAACACACTAACATGATTAGTAAGTCTGCTATAAGGTGCAAAAAGCATCAAACTGTATGTTGTACTTAAATTGGAGACTTTATGTATGAAGAGGAGCCGTATAACAGCTGAAATGTCTATTGCCAATATAGGTAGGATATACAACTACATATGTAAGATTGTATAAATAAGTAATATTGTACCCAAGCTCTATGGCAACAGTTGCTTCATGCTTCTGTATAGCCAGAAAAGAGATAATTCAGACTTTGTACCTGTTAATACTTAATTAACAACTCTTCTAATTGTGTGTAGCTCTTAAGAGGTCTTACCAGCAGAGGGGGAGGAAAGACAGTCAGTTATACTTCTTTAGCACATACACTTTATTGGGCACACCTAAACTAAGATGTTTTGCTTTTGTTTCATTTGTCAAATCAAAATAAACTCAAACAGCACGCAAGCAAAATGTAAACATTTAGAGTCCTTCCCTCCTCCCCCTCCTGCTTTTTGAAGTTCTATAATCAGGATATAAGCCTGTTTTGGTAATGTGCCATGTTACAACCACACTCTCTCTCTCCACATACATATATGTATATGTAAAGATACACATGCTCATATATGTGTATATACACATATGATGCATACCACCTAATTCAGCGTGAAGCTCTGATAACATATAGGCATTATTAAGTTACAGCTAAGAAACTACAGTCCAGGCTAACACTGCACCTGTTTCCAGATTAATTCACCTCTTGTAAAGAACTGATCTGTAATTAAAGAAACTAATCATGTTTGCAAATCAGCTGATAACCTAACTATGACCTTTTGGAGATCACGAATATCATTAGAATTTCAAAATAGCTGAATAGTTTACAACTATCAAAATCTCTCTTAGATGACATGCTTCACAATACGCAGTGCTCAGAATCAAAAAGGTGGCAGCATATAACACGCAGGCAAGCCTCCTGCTGACTTAGTCGACATTTTCCACCTCAAATTCTATCACTTTCCAAAATAAATATTGTTAATGTAATACATACCTCTACTTCATCACTTTCATTTATATCTTTATTATAGCCTGCAGGTGGCGGAAACCTCACATCATGGAATGGTATTTGTCTCTCTGGTTGCCAGCTGCAAACAAAAATACACTGAATAGCCTAAACATTTTCACTTTCTTAAAAAAAAAAAAGTAGGAGTGCTTTCAACCAACTAATTTTACATTTTTAAATTATGTGGAGCTTTTGTGCATATGTATTAAATAGTAAACTAATGCAATGTCATGTATACTTAGTATTTAACAAGTGATCATTAAGCGTCTTAAATACATCCTCGATGCCACTTGCACTGTCTTAAAGTCCTCCAGCACCAGAGTTTACTCTATTCATAACTACAGATTTTATCTGTAACATTGTAAATGTCACTTAAAAAAAAAAAAAGTTGTATAATATTTTGACAGTTTCTTCAAAACAAACCTGATTCTTTTTCTTTAGTTCTAAGTATATAATGAATACTTGATCAGGATTCAATCTGAACTCAGTGTGATTGCTCGGTTTAACAGAAATCAGATAAGATAATTTTTATAGAAAGAAGCAAACAATTTCCAAAATACAACAGATGATACTACAACCACATAGATACATAGGAAAAAATACATAGTAGCATGTTGTTTCCTTTCTGAAGGAAACAAAACCTGAACTAAACACAGTATAATGGAAGGTTAACTTTTTATGCTGCTAAGCAATGGGAAAGCAACATCAGTTCATTTCTAGCTTAGAACTCTCATACTTATACTTCACTATATAACAAATTTAGTGATAATGTAATTTGGTAAATCTAAAGATAAGATAGTCACAAGAGACAGGTCTTTTAATGGTACATTTAAACTGTTGACTTGTGCAAACAACTTACGTGATCAATAGCAACATCCTTATCTCCCCAGTAAACCCTATATTGCTATAGTTTTGTATTTCAAAAAATTTAAACAATTAGAAATATTTATACAGAGTGTCACAACACAGCGCATATCTTAAACATAATTCTACAGTAAGGCCAGCAGCAAGACTGGAGTATCTAAGAGACACTGTTCTCCATCACTATTACGTCATATTTAGGTTAACCAAATGCAAGGTTGGAAAGTAGTACCATTTTTAGCAATCACATCAGCAATATACTTACTTGTTTTCAAACGAAACTGTTATAGAATCTTCATGTACATCCTTTACGAATGCCTATGTAAGAAAAAAATAGTTACGGTCTATCTGTGGATATTTTTAAGAACAATTTTAAACTCATACAAGTCCTTTCATAGATGTGATGAAACAAAATTTAAGTATGGTTTCAAGTCAGCCTTTTAAATTTTGCAACAGTCTTATATAAAAGCGCATACAAGAGAAAACTGATAACCTCCTTGGATACATGACTGCCAGCATACTGACACACATACAGAACACTGCAGCCATACATTCATTCTTTCTGTTTTTCAGAAGTAACAAGTAGGACAAAAAGGACAAGTAACAATTGACAAGATTATTCTAACAGTTCTACAATTACAGTTTAAAACGGTGGAATATATACCATGTTTCTAGTATTTTGACACAACTATGGTATAGAAATTAAACCATCTCAGGATTTATTTTTTCTTTTTAAAAAGAAACATCATGCCTCTTTTCTATCTCAATGTAAGTTGAGCATCAAATCAGCAAAATTCATCTACATTAATTTCAGCACAACCTTCCCCCATTTCCTTCATCACACTTAACTTCCTTCGTGCATGACCGTAAGTGAAATGCACTGCAGCCTTTCTTTGGTTTTCTTCAAGAGGATGGACAGGTGTTGTGCTAGGTTTTACATGCAAACATGAAGCACAGCATAGCTCTAAGATTTAACAGTCATGGGAAGGCTTTTCCCCTACTTTTTTTATGCTACTCAGTTAAACAACCTTCGATCAACCTTCAGCTTTATACCTTAACTTCTCCACATACAAAACAGCGAGACTAATACTCCATTTAAATGACTTTAGGATTTACTAAAGAAAATATTTTCTCATAGCCTCAGATGACAAGAGGTCATGGCGCAATCAGGGATGATTTTTTTTTTTTTTAAACAGCTTTCCAAACTACTGAAACAGATACAAACATTGGAAAAGTGCTGAAAAAATATTTATTGATATGCAGTACCTATATTCCACTAACATTAATCCGTAAATATACAGCATATCCTTGCAAGGTATAGGTAGTTAAAAGCCCATGAACAAGATAAGACTATAAAAATTTGTCCTACCAATGGAGATAACTCTTGGTAGAAGAAAAAAACTTCTCAATAAATTGAAAATAATTTTGCTAATACTTTTGAAGAAAAGTTAGTGAACTGTGGAACATTTAATTCTACTCCCATTTCAAGATTCCCAGAAGACGTACAAGAACTTAAGAATTTCTGTTATGCAAGTCTAAATGGTAAAAAACCAAATTCTTCATATATTTTTCCTTTAGGAAGTATTCCCAAGTATTTTCTGAATTACAGCAGTATCTAAAACAAGAGCAGTACCTGATGACCAATACAGAGCACAAAGAATTGATTCTACTAAAATTAAACCGCACATGCGCACATGTATCATTACTCAGAGACATTCAGTACTAGAAAGAAGTTCAATGCAAGTTAATAATCTGAAAATAACTAACGCTACCTTGAAGAGAAGTCACAGTAAAGTCACAACTACAATATCAAAATATGTTACAGTTTGCTCATCTCTCACAATACTGTAAGAATAAGTAAAAAGTTACTGAAAAGTTTATCATCATCATAAAGAAGTTCCTTTACAGACCATTAATATATTTAAAACATTCTCTAATAGCACATAGTTACATATTTTGAAATTCCAAGATATTCCTTCCAAGCAAATTACAAGCATAGGTGATATTTTTCATGACATGATACAAAACAGATCTAAAACCACATCTCAGCATTTCTGTACTGATATCTACATGATCCTATTTATTTTTTAAAAGGCCTATTGATATAAAAAGGCAATAGAACTCCCAGACAATCATTCTGGATACTGAACATGGATCTAATGTTTTATACTGCTGTTTCTTCTGCAAGAAAATTCCAGAACAGGATATGCATTTGACAGACACTGTGGTAGCCCTGACTCATTTTGCAACATTACACACATCACCTTCAAAGGTTCTTCCCACATTTCTTCCAATGTTTGTCATGTGCAGCTCTGAAGCACCTATTCTTATAGATGGAGCAGAAATGGATGCCTTTAAAACCTGAAAAATACTGTAATCACTATCAAGAGTATTTGGCATGACTCCTTCACACCACAGAATGGAAAAGGACAGAATTTAGTATTATTAGTAACACTTAGGTAGGCAAAAGCTGAGGTTATTTTATGAAGCAAATCCAACAGAGATGACATAAAGAGCACTAACTAGCCTTAAGGAAAACAGGTAGAAGTAACACAAAACAATGTCCTCAAAAACCTGCTGATTTCCACTATTTAATTTTCGCAGATTCATAATACAACAACAATCACCACTTCTACTACGAAAGATACTTGGAGAAGAAGCTCCTGTATGGTGATGAACAAGACAAAAGACAATAAGTAGCACTCCTTAAAAATTATGAGAAATAACAGAAAGAGATTAGGGAGCAGCAAAGAGTGATACTGTATCTTATATCCAGATCTGACAACTCTTAAGATAGGATTGTAACCTCCCTAAAAAAAAATGTTTTGCCTATAATCATAGCACTTTCATTAAAGGTATTTTGAGCAGAGTCCTAGTGCCTACAGCAATATAAGTAGAGAGCAGTATTAATGCTAACACCTTCCATTAACAAACAAACCAGATGATATCACAAACCAACGTAAGTTATCAAGCTGAAGACTATCCTGAGGACTTTAAACAGTCTAGTGCTTATGTCATCTGGAAAAAGTAAAATTTGGACACATAGCTAATTGGAAGAATATTGAACTATGGGCAATTCTTTTCTCTGACCTGAAGAAACCTGAAGCAGAAACACTAAAGATAACTGTTGACCGTACACAGGTAACATCAACACAGATGGCTGAAAATAATCAAACTGACACCATTTCCTTAGTTTACATTTAGTCAATATATACAGCAGTTCTGCCTACCTCCGCCATGAGATTTATGCTTACAAAACAAATTACCAAACAAATATATTAATAATTTAAATACTTGGTTGACTAGTCACAGCTATCCATAGAAAGTAATTTTTTTTTTCATTCTGCTCTCTTGTGACACAGGGAAAAAAAAGATTCCATTAGTTTTCCTAGTCTATATTATCGTGAAAAAAAAAGGGACGATATACCTTAATCATATCAGTTTTTACAGTCTGTATTGTGGTGTCATGTCAGTTTCCCTCAACTGAAAGTATTTAAACAAATCTGTAGTAGCCAGTGCTTTATAGTCCAAATATATTCAGTTCTCTGTGTACTTGTAAAAATTTTTTTAATACTTTTGAACGCATGCAGATAGCCAAAATTAATCACAATTATTTCCTGATATTCTGTCACACATGTGCAAGTGTACAAAACAATGCTAAAAAGCTGACAGACCTTTAACGCTGTAAGCCCAATTCACTGAAACATAGCTTGTCCAGTTCCAGATGTTAGTAAAGGTAGAGAAAGAGTAGTGATTTTGCACAAAGTACTAAGGGAATGGTATTTGTAAGAATTTATCAGTTTGGGGGGAAATAAAGTGTACAAGCAAGGTGTGAAAACTGAAACATAAAGATGCATAGATGTGGGTTTGAAGAGTATGCCCAAGAAAGCACAGAACACTGGCTATCATGAACAGATATGTGAAAAGCATAAAAAAGATTTAACAAGGAAGAAGAAAAAAATAACTTGAGAAACCTTTTTTAAAAAATAATAATAGCAGTGACTGATATGGAATGCAACAGGAGGACAAGGGAACAGCTGTTACTAGTGAGACATTAAGTAATAAAGAACTAAGAAAGATGAATGATTTTGTCAATTATAACTTAAATGGAAGAAAGTGAGGTTTCTAAAAAGAAACAATGGCAAAATACTGAAACTGCTCAGATTGGAGGAAAAAAAGGATGTGGAAGAGTTTAACAAGGTTGTAGAGCAGAAAGTGGCAATATTTGATTACAGACAATATACAGATGTTGAATTAAAATTTATTGCAAAAGTATGTGACTCAAACAGGATGCTTTCTCTCTTTAGCAAATGATAGGTGAGATAATCACTCTCAAACATGAAAGGCATCCACCATGTCCACCTTTCACAGGGAAATGTCTAAACCTAGTCCTGGAAAAATTAGACAGAGAACTGTCTATTAGGCTTCTGAGAATGAGATAAGAATTTACTAAACCTATACTGACTAACAGAAAACGTGGACAGGTATGCCCTAATAGCTCAGATATTCAAGATTTAGTTTCCTGAGACATCCCAAAAGACAGATCCCTCCCCTTAGGATTCACGGTTCTGACCGCTTGTTGGACTGTTTTTTCTAAAAGGAAAAAAAAAAAACATGGGATTTAATCTTTTATTTCAAAGGATCCTGGGCCAGGCAAAAACATTATCAAGTCATGACAAAGCATCTGTAGGCACTGGATTATTGATTACCTCAGGGTTGCTCTGAATCATGCTCATTGACTGCGCTACACTTTCCATGGAATAATTCATAATAAGCAAAGAGAAAAAATTCATGAAAATAAAAAGCATTCATCAAGTGGTACTCTAATTCCATTAAGAACTAGTCTGCACTACAGTGATCAAAGCAACACACTCTGGAATTCTTTGAAACATAGTGCACCTGACCAGCATGAAATATGAATTCTCAAATCTCCCTCATCCTGAATGCATATTCAAACTAATGAGATATCAAAATCATCTTCTATGTTTTTTGTGGAACGAGACCTCTTTGGCTGTGTCTTCAGAAGGCTTTCTGGATCAAGGCCCACGGAGAAATGCCTGCTTTATGACTCTCAGTAGGGCTTATGGGACAATTAGGCATCGCTTCTGAACTTTCAGGATTAAGGTGCTGCTGGGTACATTCAAAAATGAAACTGCTTAGGGACCTGAACTTATAGAGGTCCTCAAAGACAGCTACAGAAGAGGTATGAAAACTTAAAGTGGCAATTAGTTGCCTATTCACTTAGAACCTTCATGAATCTAGCGTCATAGTCCTCCTCTCCATGTCTTTGAATCAGTATATAGGTGTTTTTAAAATACATTTACACGTTCTAATGAAAAACTCCAGAATGACTCAAAGCCAAAAAAGTTTCTATCAGTAAACCATGACATGGGGTAAAAAATTTTTCGTTTCTGATTTGTTTGTAGTGTTATAGTTGTAAAGCAATTCTGAGGAACCTGCTTAAAGAAACTTTTAAATGAAAAAATAAAATCATCTTGCAATTAAAACCTGTACTTGACACCGTAACATAGTTCACTGGGACAACCAATTCATTCTACAAATCAAATCTTCCGTCTGCAAGATGGGAATAAAACTCACAAGACGATATGTAGATTAATTACTTCATAACAGACTGACACTCAGACACTATGACAAAGAGAAAAATTTTAAATAAAAACAAAATCAAGTAATTCAGGTAAGATGAAAAATATTGATTTTTATTAAACATTATTCTATGACTTTTTTTTTTCTTTTTTTGTTTAAAACATAAATGCAGAAGCATTGGTTGTTTTTTTTTTTTTTTTTAAAAAAAAGTGTGATGCTCCATGTAGAGAGGTAGTGCAGCTGAATACCAGTAAGTCTGTGTGTCCCTTTGGTTAATTTAACCAAGTCTCCTTGGTTAAATTTATTACCTTAAAAATTAAAAAAAGACCAAAAACACCCACCTATGTTTGAATTTCTGTAAGTTAAAAGGCAAGCATAACATGCAGCCTGGAAGCAATTTTTGTGTTATAACTTGGATGCACTAAATCATGTTTAGTAAATAATCTCCCATTACTATATACGCTCATCTGAAATTGTCATCTAAACCACAACCAGAAAGGGGCTATGGTATGGATGATGGGGAACAGGACACCATATCATCAAAATTGAATGTGATAAAAAAAAAAAAAAAAAACAACCCCCCCCAACACACACACCAACCACCCTCTACACACCCTACAGCAGCTTTCAGTTCTCCCAGGTGTCTTTAATAACACTAGAGAATGTATAATATCATTTTCATCATCATCTATTTTGCATGGTGTGTGTAAATACTGGCATTAATTTGATAAAAGTCTCATTAAAATTATTTCCTTAGCAACACATTTATACCTTCTTTTCCTTTCAGAGCAAATACCATATACTTAAAAACTTAAAATTGATTTTTAAAAGTGTTAAATAATTTAATTGCAGGAAGCTATATACAAATTTTGCCTACAACACTGCAAACCCACAAGATGCTTTATTTATCATACTTATAAACTTGTTTCGTGCACACTTCTCTTATTTTGAAAGCAAGATAAAAAGATATTATCACATATATATTTTAAAGTAAACTTTTAAGACCTCTTTTATTTCAAAAGCACTCAAGGCTGTCAGAACTGTTTTATTTGGGTACCAACCTGCCCTACCACACTAACATCAGACTGAAATTCTACCTGCTCCTTCATTGATAACATAAATATTGGATGTTGCACAATAACTAGGCCCATTTTTTTTTAAAGTACTGGGAACATTTAAACAATAGCAAACTTGCACAAAGGGATCCATGACTTGTTTTTGTTTGTTTAATGTTCTGATGATAGGTGTAGAACCCCACTGCCTTCAATGATAGTAGGCCCTAACCCACTATGTTCAAATTGTATTTTTCTGTAAATAGAGTAAAACCAAAGTATACCCTATTCATATGCTGATTAATAAACCTCAACTCATGCAAAGCAACAGCAATACTTCACAGCATTAATAAAGATATTAAATACTCAGATGTGTTCAAGGCTCAGTGATGGCTTTATTCAGCACTAGCACAAGGGCTTGGAAACAAACATGGAACACTATTAGGTAGTTTCAGTAAGAAGTACATTTCATAATTAAATGTATTTAGAAACTCAGCACATGTATTCTTGGTCAAGCAATGCTTTCTTTAATGTCAGTAGGCAGTATCCCCAGACGTGGCATTAAAAGCAACAATTCGCAACAGCATTTCATCATGAAGGTGTATTTAACAAGCTGCCCTCCTGCCCTCCCTCCCCCGACTTAAACGCTCTCCCCTAGCAGGGCAGCTCTCCTGGAAACCCGGAGAGCGAAGGAGACTTTCCTTAAGTAGCGACGAAAGCTGAGGATT